TTTTAAAATGCCAAGTAGAGCTCTCTTGTGTAATTGTGCCACATTTTCATGATCCATTCATCTGATGAAGGCCATCTAGGCTGACTCCATTTCCTCAGTATTGTCAACAGGGAAGCAATCTCCGTCAGAGGATGGAGAGTCCTTTGAGTGTTTGCCCAGGAGCGACAAAGCTGGGTGATAGTTACTTTTAACATACTTAGAAACCTCTCTGCTGATTTCCGTAGTAACTGGGCCAATTTATATTCCCACCAACAGTGCAAAAGTGTTCCTCTTTCCACACATTCTTGCCAGCACTTGTCATTTATTTCCTTGATAATGGATATTCTGACTGGGGTGAGATAGAACCTCAGATGGGCTTTGATTTACATTTTCCTGCTGGCTAGTGATGTTGAAAACTTAAACATTTTTGTTTTGGATTTATTTTGTATTTTATGGGTATTTTTGCCTCCTTGTACGTACATACGTATGTATGTATGTATGTATGTTTGTGCATGTGTGTGTGTATGTGCGCCATGTATACATGGGTGGAAGTCAGAACAGGGTGTCAGATTGCCGGAAGCTGGAGTTCCAGATGGTTCTGAGCCACCATGTGCATAACCAGGCTGAATCCAGGTCCTCCTCAAGAATAGCAAGTGCTCTTAACCACTGAGATGCCTCTCTTGCCACCGATGTTGAACACTTAAAACAATCCTTATTAGTCACAAGTCTTACTTTTTTTTTTTTTGAAGACTGTTTAATTCCATGTTATTGCTATTTATTTTTTGAGTTCTTTGTATAGTCCAGGTATTAACACCATTGGATGTGTAAATGGCAAAGGTTTTCTCTCATCCTCAAGGCTGCTGCTTCACTTGACTGAGTTTCCTTCGCTGTACAGAAGCCAGAGTCCCAGTTGTTAGTGGTTAGCCTTAGCAACATGGGTCCTACTCAGAAAGTTCTTACTCGTGTCTGTGTCTCATTCTGGACATCCTACCTTTTCCTCTTGAAGTTTCAGGTTTTACATTGACACCCTTGATTGGTCCACCTGGAGCTGATTTTTGTGTGGAGTGAGAGAATAAGAATCTCGTTTTAGTCCTCTTCATGGGGATATCCAGTTTCTCAGCACCATTTGTTGAAGATATCTTTTCTCCAGTGTGTATTCTTGGCAGCTTTATAAAAATGTCAAATGGCTATAATTCTATGGACCTCTATCTGCAGCTTCTGTTCAACCCCATTGATTGATAAGTCTGCATTTATGCCAGTACCATACTGGTTTTATTCCTACGGCTCTGCAGTATGGTTTAAAATTGGGTATGGCGATGCCTCCATTAGTGCTCTGGATTTCTTTGCATATCTGGGGTCTGTTGTGCTGTTATATGAATCTTAAGATTTTTTTTTCTATTTCTGTGAAGAATAGCAAGGAGATTTGATTGATATTCCAATGAACTGCAATCTGCAGTGATAGCTTTTAGCAGGATGGTTATTTTCACAACATACATTGTAATCCCTGAACACAGGCGATTTTTTTTTCATCTTCTGTGTCATCTTCAATTTCTTTTCTTGGAGATAAGTTTTCATTATAGAAGCAGTTCAGTCTCTTGTTTATGTTTATTCCAGGATGTTTTCCTAGACCCTATTGTGGACGGCATTGTTTCCTGAATTCTTATTTCTCAGTACGTTTTTCATCAGTATATAGAAAGTTAATACTTTATATATTAATTTTATATTATACTGCTTTGCTGAAGAGTTTTTTTTTTTCTTGTTCTAAGAGTTTTCTGGTGGCAACTTTAAGGTCTCTCTTAAACTTTTGAAAATTACTTTCATTTATTTGTGTGTGTGTTTACGTTTACGTGCCATGGAATGCATGTGGTGGTCTGATTGATAGGAGTTGTAGGGGTTGGCTTGTAGGGGTTGGCTTTCTCCTTCCACTATACAGATCCCAGAACTGAACTCGGGTCCTCGGGCTTGGTCATAAGGACCTTTACCCACTGATCCTTCAGGCTTGCCCTAGAGTCGTTTATGTATAAAATCATACCATGTGTAACCAGGAATACTTCTATTTCTTTTCCTATTCATATACCTTTTCTTCTCTTACTGTTTTAGCCAAGACTTCCAAAAACTATACTGAATAGTAACGACAATAATTGTCAGCCTTGTCTTGCTCATGATTTTAGTGCTATTGCTTTAAGTTTTGCTCCACTTGGCATGATCCTCCTGTTCCTGTATTGTGTTGAGATACATTTGTTCTAAAGTAGTCTTTCTTTTTTTTTTTTTTTTTTTTTTTTCAATAGGGTTTCACTATGCACCCCTGGCTGGCCTGGAACTTGCTTTGTAGCCCACCGGGATGGCTTTATACTCATAGGGAGGCCCCCTGAGTGCTGGGCTAAAGGCACGTGCTCCCATGTCTGGCTCCCACCATGGCTTTTATTAAGGGATATTGGACGTTGCTCTGTGTTGAGATAGGGTGAGAACACCAGAGGGAGATGGGGTGAGGTCACTATCTGTGCAGCGAGCAGGTGTTCCAGATGTGTCCTAGAACTCTCTTTAGACCAGGCTAGCTTCAACTCAGAGATCCACCTGCCTCTTTCTTCCCAGCACTGGGATTAAGGGCAAGCACTACCATGCTTGGCTTGTTTTGTTGTTGGTGGTGGTTTTTTGTTGTTGTTTTGTTTTGAGACAGTGTTTCTTTACGTATTCCAGGCTGGCTTTGAACTCACTATATAACCTAAGCAAACCTCAAGCTCTCAGCAATTCTCCTTTCCCAGACTCCCCAGTGCTGGAATAACAAGTGTATGCTGTCATGTTCACTGGGCACCTTCCAGTAACAAGAAGTTGGTAGATGTCATATTGGCATAGATTCTTCTCTATTTGGGTAACTACTCAGATTTAGAAATACTAGCGAGCAAGTCTAATTATTCCTAGAGTTGGCTTGGTGAACAGAAGCAGGGTGAAGAAGAAAGAACAAGTTCTTAGAAGTGCGACTCCCTAAGCCTTCCTGTGGCACCCGCGGTGTCTCGGTGGTAAAGTTCCGTCTAAGGATTCCCGTATAATTTAGAGAGAAACGTTCCACGGTGGAAGCGTAACTGTGGCCAAATCCAAGCTCTGGTGACAGCTTCAATCTGCTACAAGCCAGGCATGGCTGAAAGGAGACCACCACGGTGAACTCATCAAGTCTGAATTTTATTTCACCCAGGAGCAGAGTGATGAGGGACATTCTTCCATGTTACACATATCCCAGGATGCTTCGGTCCTTCCACTCAGGGCTGCTGCTGGGGCTATTGTGCCACGCGTGAAGATCCTACATCCATCTCGGGTGCTGGCTCTGCCCCTGCCTTTGAGAGTCTGCCCTCGTACTGACAGGAGTTCAGGAGCCTCTGTAAGTATAGTAAAATGCTGTTAATCTCGTGCTCCTGTTCAACTTTGGCAAAAGCGATGCAGCTGGTTGACAAGGTGAGAATGTTTCCTAATGTCATTGGTTCTTCTGTTTGAAAATGTAGACCGACCGTGTTTGAAATGAAAGAAGCACTCAGAGCTCAAATGCCTCCAGGAATTTCAAACAGCAGCAACGCATGCATACACCCACAGGTTGGTGTGGTTTTTTTTTAAGGCCACGTCCACATTTTTTTCTTCCCGCACTTCACTTGATTGCATTTTGTAGATATTTTGCTTTCTATAAACTGCAGGTTTGTGGCAGCTCTACATTAAGTGAGCCCCTTGATAACCTATGTCCAGTGGGGGAAAGCTCACTTCCTGTCTTTTTCACATTTTGGTAATTCTCAAAGTCTTTCAAACCTTTTTGTTTTTATGTGTTTTGGTTGTTTATGATCACTAATGTGTGTGTTTTGTTTTGTTTTGTTTTGAGACAGGGTTTCTCTGTGTAGCCCTGGCTGACCTGGACTCGATTTGTAGACCAGGCTGGCCTTGAACTCACAGTGATCTGCCTGTCTCTGCCTCCCTGAGCGCTGGGACAAAGGGTGTGCGCCACCATGCCTAACTACGATCACAAATACTTTAAGTTAGCTAAATTTGTTCTTTGACAATTTTACACACACACACACACACAGGTGTACACACATATATATTCTTCTTCCCCACTCACTTGTTTTCTCTCTCCCATACCTGTCAGTGGTTCCTCCTTCCTACAGGTCCATTTCTCAGGTTCAGGTCTTTGTTTGTTTAGTGGCCACTGAATTTAACCAGAGTGTCTCAGTGCCCATACGTATGGAGCCATCTAACGGAGCCTGGGGGAGCTTAGTGGGTAAAAAAAAAAGCTATATCTTGTTTTTCTAAGCAAAAGCATGGCATGGGTTATAAAATGCATACTGCCCTCGGATTGCAAGACAATGAGACACAATCTCTTTCTCTTTTTCCAAAATCAATGGTCTTCAGTGCCATGGCAAAATTTGAAGTGATTTTAAGGCTAAGAAATTGGCTCATAGAAGGAGGAAATTTGTGTCAAATCCTATGGCATGCCCTTGTCACAGTAAATAGAAGGTTGCCTTAGCAAACCCGTTCTAATATTCTTTCCATCCTCATTGTTAGAACTCCTGAGAACTAAGGATTGTTCAATCTAACCTCAGCAACACCAACAGAAAACTCCTGCTTGAAAGTCTTGAGGCAAAGACAAGCTAGTGAGTAGACTAGTGAGGCACACCCTCACCCAGAAAAGGAATTCCAAGAATAAGCTGCTCAAGTGAGAGCCTCATTTGATATAATGAATCTGTTTGAGAAACAAAGTCAATTCATTTATTTTTCCCCTTTCTCCTGCTTTCCCCAGCCTGTGTTTCTGTTTCCTGATCAGTCTCTGACATCTAGAAGTTTTGCTGTTGTTCCCCATCCCCATCTATAAGCTCAGCATTCTATGTCTTGATTTTCGTTATTTTCTAGACACAGAGAGCAGATGGCACAGTTCTCTAAGGACATGCTAACGTGCATCTTAAGATACCTATGCATCAGAGCAGTGAATTCTGGCAGACAACTTCCTGTATTGGTCTAGAAAGCATGTGAGGCAGGCTCAGAAAGGATGCAGAATTATGGCAGTTTTATTAGTCCACAGAGATTTATGGAGTCCTATAAGAGGCTTAGTATGTCTAGGCTGTTCTAAGCCTCATGATTTGGTGACTTATATAGCAATATTTGTGCTTGGGCACTAGGGAATGAGGCTGGGAAAGGGTTTGTAAAGATACCCAGGCTCTATAAATTAAGAAAGAGCATCAACGAGATCAAAATCAGAATAGTCTCCCGTTTCTGTGGTATGATCCTTTGCATTAACTGGCTTCCACGGGCGTCCAGGACACTTGTGGGAAGTTGCTTCTGGAAAATCAGATATCGGCTTAAATGAAAGGCTGTCTGGCTGTACATGGATATCAGGGATCAAATCATCACGGATCTCTGTGGCATGTGGCGATGTGGTTGCCACCACACCTTCAATGAAATCTGAGTCCTGAGAGCGAGAAGGGATAACCATTACACTTGGCTGGGCCAGTGGAGGGTTCAGGGTGCTCCCTTCTGTCCTCCCCTGGGTCTGTGTGGGAGAAGCAGTACTGTGTTCAGAGGAGCTTGTCAAAGGCTCTGCTCTCTGGTCAGTGTGCTTTCCATTGTTTCTGTCTTTATTTTTGTGTTTACCATTGCCGTGACCATGACCATGACCATGACCATGACCATGACCATGACCATGACCATGCTTACGACCATGTCCCAGTGTATGCCCATGGCCAAAGCCATCTTCCCCTTGGTGTTTAAGATAATCAAGTTTAAGTTGATGTCCATGGCCAACACCATGCTGTTTGTGATGTCCATGGCCAAGGCCATGGCTCTTTGGGGGCTGATGGCCTTGGTCATGCCCATGCTTATGACCACGGTCAATCTTATGCTTTATTTGCTTTTCATGCAACCAGCTATGCTCATGAGCGGGTCCAAGTTCTCTTTCTGGATCCTGCTCTTCTTGCACCACAGCAGTGTAGGGCGGACTTACAGTTGCTCCTTTATTTGTTTCTTGTACTTGGACTGCCCGGAAAGGTGAAAAACCTGGAGGCCTTATCCTCAGTAAAGCCTACATAGGAAATATGAAGATGAATACATTGTTAGAACCATGCTGTCAGTGAAGGAAGAGGAGAATAACAAGCTGATGAGGCCATTTTGGTTTACAATGGGGTGAGTCTTTGCCAGATTCTAAACCAGAACCTAAACTACAGCGAGAGAGGTGGCAATTTTCACAGAAGTATGGCTTTGTGGATAACTCTCCACATCCACTTTTATCACCTGTGTGAAGGTGATGGCTAAAGCCAGTATTCAGAGGTAAAAGAACTTGGACTTTTGCACCAAATCAGATCTTCTAGGCATCAGAATCACGTTGGAAAGGGTGGCCTCTGATTTAACCCGCACTCAGTGCCCTACATGCTAACTCCACTTCTCTGCAAAACAGAAATAACAGCACCTGCCTCCCAGGGCCCTCCAAGGACTGGGAAGGATGTAGGACGCAGTGATGTGGTTCACTCTGGAGCCTCAGAGCATTTCAAATCTTGGTGACTGACAACAGCGTTAGCCATACCGGGCGCTGTTTAAAGACTTAAAAAGAGGATGGAGAGTACTGCCTTTCAGATTTGAATTGTGTGTGAACCCTGTGAGGACCTTTTTAAAATGCGGGTTGAGATTCATTAATCGTGGAAGGGGAGTGAGTCCATGTTTCTCACGGAGTCCTTGAATGTACAAAGCAGAGCGCAGCGCAGTGCCTCATGCGCCTCAAGCATGTCTTGGAGGTGTGTGGCTAATGTTAGCACCTGGGCCGCCTCCTCACTACCAGCCAAAGAACTTCCAGGGAACACTGACAATGAGTTAGGTGACCAAAAGGTCGCCTGTTCTGCCTTCCAGCCGTAAAATCAAAATCTGCTTAGAAATGTATGGCTTTTCACTATTTTAAAAAGATAGCCCCTCCCCCAGTTTATTTCAGTAAGATTCCCTTTTCAATCTCCAGAATTTTTCAGAATAGGCAGAGGTGACCCCAAGATGATTGTAGTTAAATTCCTACCATGTTTGATGCATGGCAGTTGACAGTCGGCTGGACTTTGTTCTCCCACGGTCTCATGTATACGTTAGCTTTGCACTTGAGAATTTGCTAATCATGAGAGCAGAAGCCAAGAGAAAAAAGGAATCCGCTTTAGTCATGGGGCACGTGAACAAAGTGGCCATTAAAGTGTCACGCAGGTACAGTGCTACTCACACCAAGATGCTTGGTCTCACAATTCTCTGTCAGCTCAGTGTCACTCTCCTTGGAACAGTTGGTTTCTCTGGCTATGAACTCGATAAAATAATTAATTCCAGCCACCACCTGTAAAGTTAATTAGAGCGAAAGAAGTACTTAATGAGGATTGGTTTAATAAATTATACTTTTTCTTTTTACTCCAGTGAGTTTAAAGTTGGAATCGTGAGATGTTAATTGTATTCTGACCATCTTAAAATGGTCATACTTTAGAAGCTACCAGGACCTTCAGTCTGTATACATGGCTAAGATTTTTGGATATTAGTTGGACCAGCTTCCCTTACTGAGGAATATACATATACTACTTTTGATATTCAAAAGCTGCCAACTGTACCCACTGGTAACTCAAGGGCTTAAATTACAAGTCAATCCGAGGGATGGGAGGGAACAGTTAAAATATTTTTTTAAACATTTTTTATTGTTTTACTGCCAAATACCGAGTCAGTAAATTCATATGTAGATTAAATTATAGAATTAGGAAAATATTTAAATATTATCTATTGCTTCTCCTATATATCCCTGAGTGCTGGGATCAAAGGCGTGTACCACTGCCTGGTTTCTTTCATATATCTAACATGAATAAACTTTTAAACTCTTTAAACAAGCAAGGTAGTTGTGGTGCACACCTTTAATTCCAGCACTTGGGAGGCAGAGGCAGGTGCATCTTTGTGATTTCAAAGCCAGTCTGGTCTACAGAGTGAGTTCCAGGACAGCCAGGACTACATAGAGAAACCCTGTCTTGAAATGCCCTACCCCCTAAAAATCTTTAAACAATTTAGAGATTTACTTATTTGTTTATCTGAGACAGGTTTTTCTCAATGTAGCCCTGGCTTGCTCGGAACTCACTCTATAGACCAGGCTGCTGGCCTCAAATTCACAGAGATCTCTCTGCCTCTGCCTCTTGAGTGCTAGGATTAAAAGTGTATGCCAGCATGCTCAGCCTGGGATTTATTTATCTTTACCTATGTGTATGCGTGTTCTTGTATGTACATATGTGCGACACACATGTGCAGCAGTATCCTCAGAGCCCAGAAAAGAACATCAGATACCCTGAAACTGGAGATGCAGATGATTGAGACCCACCATGTGGGCCATGGGAGTTAAACCCCAGTTCTCTGGAAGACCAGTCATTCCTCTAAACCACTGAGTCACCTCTGCCGCCCTCCTTCCATTTAAATGTTTAATAACAGTTTTAATCACTACATGAAATGTTTATAAACAGCCAATTTTGTGATCTAATTATATATTGTAGAATTTAATTAATTAACTAATTAAGTTATTAATTATTTTTGGGTTTTTCAAGACTGGGTTTCTCTGTGTAGCCTTGGCTAACCTGGAATCACCTTGTAGACCAGGCTGGTCTCAAGCTCACAAAGCTCGGCCTGCCTGTGCCTCCCCAAGTGCTGGGATTACAGATGTGCACCATTGTGCCCAGGTCTGTATTATAGAATTTAAATGTATGTGTGCATTTATACATTTATACCTCACATAGCTACTGAAAAGAATGTATTAGGACAGCCAAGGCTTCATAGAGAAACCCTGTCCCAACAAACAAACAAACAAACAAAAACAAAAAAGCATCTATATGTATTGACCTGGAAGGAAAGCTCTTATTGGAAAAAAGGGAATTACACAGTGATAGCACAATCCCATTTTGTAAAAAAAAGAACTGAAACCTTTTTTAAATCTTTGTTTTCTTTTTGTGTACCTCTATCTGCATGTACATATGCATGCCAAAAGAGGGCATCAGATCCCATTATAGATAGTTGAAAACGGGACTTGAACTCAGGACCTCTGGAAAAGCAGCCAGTGCTCTTAACTGCTGAGCTGTCTCTGCAGCACACTCTTTATGCTTTCGTTGTTTTATTTTTGTTGTACTAGGGATGGATGGGTGCTTGGACCCAGTCAGGGACCTACCATTAAGCTATATTCTCAATGTTTTTAATTTTAATTTGAGATATAATTTCATTATGTAATTCAAAGTGGCATGTAATAAGTGGTCCTCAAAATCATGAGTCTCCTGCCCTAACCTTCCAAGTGCTGGGATTATAGGTGTGAGCCACCATCCTGGCTTCCTGATGCTGACAGCTCAGCTTAACTCAGAGACTGGGGGGCAAATTCGACACACCTAGGAGAGTTTCAAGACTGCATCCACACTGCCACCCCGATTGGGGTTTTTAATCAAGGTTTCCTATGTATGAAGTCTGAAGCCACTGTGCCCAAGTTTGTTTGCTTGTTTGTTTTCTGGTAGAGAACACTATATGTCAATATAAATTCCTAATGTATTTGAAGTTAAAGAAAATGACTAATGGATAGATATTCCTCTGAACCCAGGATATGGAGGGGGCACTCGTAGGAGAAACGTAAGTGGAGAAAGCCTTAAGTGAAAGGAAAATGTTCAAATTGATAGACAATGGTAAAAGTCATTTCTCAAAAATCAAAGTGGTATAGCACAGTGGTTCACACTGTTAATTCCAGCATTTGAGAGAAAAGGCAGGCAGATCTCTGTGAGTTTGAGTTTGAGGTCTACATAGTGAGTTCCGGGCCAGTCTGGACTATATAATGAGATTCTGTCTCAAAAATAAGATAAAATAAAATAATTTAGGAATATATCTAACTAAAGAAATAAAAAACCTCTACAATGAAATTTTCATGGTATTGGCAAAGAAAATTACAAAAGATACTAGACAATAAAAAAATATTCCATGTTCTTGGATAGGCAAAATTAATATTGTGAAAATGACCAAAATTAATGTATAGAATTAATGCAATACCTATAAAATTCCCATGTCCTATTTCATAGGCTTAGAAAAAAATAATACAAGAATTCATATGGAATCACAAAAGACTGAATGGCGAAAGCAATCCAAAGGAGTAAGAACAATGCTGAAGGTATTATAATACTTGACCTCAAATTATACCACAGATCTATAGTGACAGAGACAGCCTGCAACTGGCACAGAAACAGACAGGAAGAACAATAGCACAGGCAGGAACCAGCCCCAGCCATCAACCGATGGGAATATGTGAAAATGCAAAGGCTGTTCACAGCAAAAGAAACCACTGTTGGTTTCTGCAGCATGGCAGATGATCTTGACCAGCCCACATTTCAGGCAAGGAGCTACTATCCAGAATTTGCAAAGAATTGCAGAAATTAAATACCAAGGGATAAAACTGTCAATCAACAAATAGGCAAACAAACTTATAGGAAGTTTTTTTTTTTGTTTTTTTTTTTTTTTTTTTAACTCAAAAATGTTCAATAACTATTCTAAAAAGCCATCAGGGGCTGGCTCAGAGGATAAGAGCACTGACTGTTCTTCTAGAGGTCCTGAGTTCAATTCCCAGCAATCACATAACTATCTACAATGAGATCTGGTGCTCTCTTCTGGCAAATATGCAGGCAGAATACTGTCTAAGTAATAAATAAATCTTAAAAAAAAAAAAAAAAAAAACAAAAAAAAGAAAAAAAAACCCCAACCAAAAAAAAAAAAAAAAAAAAAAAAGGAAAATCTTGGGCATTCCTTAAAAAAAAATAAAATAAAATAAAGAACTACCATATGATCCATGGATTTCATTCATGTACATATGCCCAGAGAACTCCACACCCTATCATAGAGATATTTATACCTGCCTGCTTATTACTGTTTTACTTATTATAGCAAAGAATTAGCATCAACCTCATTGTTCATCAACAGATGAATGGATAATGAAAAATTGCTATATACCACTATATTCCCTACTCAACTCTAAGGAAAAATAAAATGAAAAATTTGCAGGAAAATGCATGGACTTAGGATGTGTAAAATTAAATGATATCTCAGGAAGAAATATACCACATTTTCTCACTAAGCTGCAAAACTTAGCCAATAATATATGTAAATAAATGTACATGTGAGTATGGTATAAAATGAAGAGAGGAGAACAAGAAAATCGAAATATAAAGGGATGAGGAAGGATTGAATGCAGGAAATGAACACAAGTCATGAAAGAAGATACAAAGCTAATTGGGTTTTTTAGTGTTAATTCTTTCATGGACTTTTTAAAAGATCTATGTATCATCTATCTATCTATCTACCTACCTACCTATCTATCTATTTATTTATTTATTTTGTGTATGAATGCCCTATCTTCATGAACACCTGCAGGCCAGAAAAGGGCATCAGATCCCATTATAGATGGTTGTGAGCCACCGTGTGGTTACTGAGAATTGAACTCAGAACTTCTGGAAGAGCAAACAGTGCTTAATCACTGAGCTATCTTTCCAGTCCTTCTCAGGGACTTTTTGATTTTGATGATGAATAACTACATAAAATACGTTCGATACCGAAAGTATAAAACTTAATGTGAAGCATCACAGCTTTTCTTTTGCTGCCAGTTACATTTGCATAAGCTCATTAAGTTATATAGACTTTTGGTCTGGTTAATCTTGGTGTGTGATGTTTTTATTTGTCTATTAAAGTCTATCAAAATGATAAGTAAAATATCACAGCAAAATTAAAAGGTAAATAGGCGAGGCTGAAATGTAGGATAAATGTTGTCACACGCATAAAGCCCATTGTTGACACACAGACATGGGATCTGAGTATCTCAGACAAGAAAATCCAGGGTGTGCCAGTCTGAAGAAAGTTTAATGTTGCTGATAAGCAAAGACAGGTGCCTTGAGAAAGAAACATCAGCCTCAGTCGCCCACGTGAGCAAGGACTGAGGACATACCGCATCTGCTGCTGGCTAAGGGCACATTTGCTCCCTGCTAGGACGAGTAGAATTGAATCTGGATCCTTTTCAATGCTCCTACCTCAAGGGTTGGATCTTGTCTCCCATGTCATGAGGCATTCTCTTCTAGCACAGAGCTCATTCCTGAATCACACACACACCAGCTCCCTTCTTAAATCTACCTCCCATCTCTCCCTCTTGTTTTCTCAGCATCTTGGTAGTATGGTAGTCTGCATCAAAAGTTTCAGCTCTATGCAAATTGAGTTGGGGGTTTTAGTTCAGCATGGCAAGCCCAAGGCTTTGGGTTCAGTCCCCGGCACCACAAACAGACACATAAACAGATCCCCCCGAATCAGATATATACAAATTACATTACGACTTCTGTGAAAAGAACATTCTCCAAACTGTACACAGATGCTCAACATTTCCTCATCGGAGCAGTTGGAGAAAGACACTCACGGCCCCAGGGCCAGCCGCACTGGGACAGGGACAGCTGTAAGCTGCAGAAGCCTCAGTCTCTGAGGATGCAGGCCCAGTGCTGGGTGCTACAATTCAGCCAGCCTGGACGGACAGACGGACGGACGGACACACACTCTAGTAGGACCAAACAAAGCCAAGGCGAGGTTAAAGCTATTAAAAAACCTGCATTTAGCAAGTTCCTCACAGCTGAGCGATTGCCTGTAAATTGCTACTTCCTCCTCGGCTGCTTTGAGTGACCAATCTAAGTGGTCAGATGGCTCTTTCAAATGAGGGGTTGTCTGCTCCCTCAGGCAGGCTCACCCTACTTTCTCACAGTGTACCCTTGGCATCCTTAACATAAGCACACATGAGAGAGGGAGAGAGAGAGCGAGAGCAATAAAAGGTTCTCTCCTTGACCCCAAGCTCCTGATGTGCAATACACGATGCACAATTCTGACATCATTAAGAATAAAGGAATTTCATAGGACAGCAGAAACAGCCAATAAGAAGTAAAGCTCCCCCCCCCCCCCCAAAGAGGAGCAGTGTGAATCGGCGGCCCCTTCAAGGAAGCTGGCCTGGGTCACGGGCAGTGAAGTCAGTGAGCACGGTAGTGCGAGAGGGACAGCACATCCTACAGAGATCAAGTACTGGCTGAGATTTATTTTCATAAAGTTTGTCTACTCTTTTTGGTCAATCAGAAAGCTGAGGAAATTAGAAAGGCGGGAACAGTCCACTGTGTCACCACCTAAAAGCCCCTCCTGTGAACAGTCGAGGCCCGTCAACACTGCACCTGTTTCTCTTGCTTTCTCTACTTTCCTATCACACAGTTGAGAGCAGATCGTTTATTCACTTTTGTGGTCTGCTTTTGTTGAATACTAAAACATGAGACATCCCTCCCTCCCCCATCAAACACTCCTTATGAAGATGCCTTTAAGCTTCTGCCTAATGGTCCACTGTGAGGATCTGCTAGGCTTTACTTAATCATTTCCACATTGTTGATCCTGTGATGTTAGTGTGTGGGGTAGGGTGTTCATGCCATGCATGCATGTGGAAGCAGAGGACAACTCTGTGGAAGCGGTACTGTCCTTCCATCTTTATGTGAGTCCCGAGGGTGGGATTCAGGGTGTCAGGCCACTGCAGAAAATGCCTTTCTCATCCGAGCCATCTCACTGGCCCGGCTGATCAGTGTGACAGTTTACTGTGTCTTTTGCTTTCATAATTGAAAGACAGTGACTTGTCTGTTGTTTTAGATTCCTAGAAATCCAACTACTAAGCCAAAAGAATCAACTTTTAGGTGAGAATTTTCTTACTAGATTTTGAATATGGCATCAGCTTCCGCAACAGTTTGGTTCTATTTTGATAGAGTGTCTTTCCCCTGTATCCAGGGAAGCCACGCTCTAGCTACGGAATCAGTCCTTGAACATTCTGATCATAGACTGCCAGAGCTGTTAGAGATTTTGGCTCTTCTAGCCCAGCTTCTCATTTTACAGATGGTGCCACATGGGCGGGGCTTTGCTAGCCACACAGAATCAACAGGATAGAGGCGACGGAAGAGCTGATCCTGTGACCCCAGACGAAGGCAGACAGCCTTTGTTGATAGAGTGTGAAAGGAGAGCTGAGTCCCTAGAGACATAATTATGAGAAATGAAAGCACCCAGAGCAGAGGGAGGAGAGGGAGAAAGAACATGGCCACGTGAGAGTGTAGGGCAGTTAATGAGGACAGACTAATGATGTCATTGAGGAGTCCAGGCGGCTCAGCATTTGTGTGTGTGTGTACACACGAATGCATGTGCGAGTGTGCCCATGTCCGGGTGTGTGTGTGTGTGTGCCTGTGTGTTAAAGATAAGATCTTGCTATATAATTCCAAGCTGACCTAGTACTTGTGGCAATCCTGCCTCAGCTTCTGAGAGGTTGGATTATAGATGTGTACCACACCTAGCACTAAATGTTCTTATGAGAGATGAGTCTGGAAGGCAGAGAATAAAAATCTTGCTTTTTCCAGCTGGTATTTTGCTAATTACACAGTGCTCTCTAGTATCTGAGTATCTGTACAGCCTTTCAGAATTTGGAATTTACACTACATTTCCTAATCTGAGCTCTGCCCCAGACATTTTCAGGTAGAGAACAGCTAACCTTTTGTTTTGTTCTTAAAAACAGGTTTTCTCTGTGTAGCCCTGCCTGTCCTAGAACTCACTCTATAGTCCAGGCTGGCCTTGAACTCAGAGACCTGACTGCCTCTGCCTCCCTGAGGGCTGAGATCAAAGGTGTGCACCACCACAGCCCATTGAAGACAGAACATTTTAAAGATACTTGTCCAAGACATTCAAGTACACAGCAGAGTTGGGACTTGGAATTTAAACCAACAAATCCTGTAACCAAGTACTGTTTTTCCAACCAGAGCCAAGATCAGGGGTCAAATCAGCAATTGGTATACACACAGGCTGTGACCTCCCGCCTTTCTAACTTTACAGACCTGTGACGTTGCTTTTATCACGCTGTCAATCTTGAAATAGAAAGGATGGTTATGTTCTGCATTAAGCTTTTTGATGGAATGTCCCAGTGGCTCCTTCAGATCTGGGCTGTCTACAGGTATGACTACGGGGCAGCCAGGGCAAATCTCAGGAAGTGGTTGAGTCAAATCTTCTCCTGAAAAAAAAAAATCATATTTAAAGTCAGTGGGTACATCAAAAGAGTAGTCTAGCCTGGCTCCTGTTACACACAAACCCAGCACCCTCACTTACACACGGGCACAGTCGAGCTTCGCATCATGACACACGCACAATCGTGCTTCTCCTCATGCAAATTCACAACTATTTGTAATGCAAGAGAAGTCAGCCCTTTCTATGAGAAACACGGACCTAACCATAAGCTTTCCACACGGCCCCCTCCATCATAGCACATGGGGAAACCCACCTTTACCAGAAGAGATTCCATTGTGGGTGGTTAAAAACAAGACGCAGTTTTCTCCAACTCAGAATGCCATACTTAAGGACAATTGGTAGAAGTGGAAAAGCAGCTGGCATTGTGCCCGACAACTACCTTGTCTAGAGAGCACACACTTTGGTCTGCCACTGGGCTGCCTTGGCCAGGCCCCACTGACTCCCGATGGCTCCGTACCCGCTTTCTCACCTGGATAAAGGTCACAGCTCTGGGAGATGTCAGCAATGTTTTGAGCAATATCCACATAGGCATTATCTCTACATTCACCAAGATCCTGGTGGTTCAAAATCATAAACCGAAATCAATTTTGAAAGCAAACAACTAGTAAAAATAAAAGGCAGTATGCCTACTTTACCAATTGTTGCATGGACTAAAGGAAAAAAAAAAAAAGGAATAAAAGCTGAAAGCAAAAGAGAAGATCAGAAGCATCTGAGAGTATTGATGGCAATAGGTAAACGCAGGGGAGTATGAAATAAGAATGCCCTTGCACACATCTATACAAGTATAGGTGCCCATGGGGGCTAAAAAAGGGTGTTGAATCTCTTGGAGGTTGTGAGCTTCCCAGTGTGGCTGCTGGGAACCAAAGTCAGGTCCTCTGCAAGAGTACTTCTTCCTTTTAACTGCTGAGCCACCTTTCTGGACTCTCCCCCTATTTTATGAGCCAGGCTCTCTCACTGAACCCAGAGCTCATTGATTCCCGTAGGCTGGCGTCAAGTGAGCCCAGGAGTCCTCTCGCTGTCCCGTCGGTGCTGGGATTACAGACATCTGCATGGGAGATGAGCACTTTGCCAGTGAGACATCTCTTCCCCAGCTTCCATTTTTGCTTTGTTTTGTTCTGGAGACGAAGTCCAGCTGAGCATACGGCCTTCCCATGCATCTGCACAGGTGAGCACGGCTACATACACATACGCACATATATGATATACCACACACACAAGGAAGAGAGTGGGCAGAGAATACAATTATTCATCCATAAATTGAACCCGTAAACTTCTAGCCTATTTATGAAAACATTTCAGCCAATTAAACACCTTAACTGAATTAGTGAGAAAACTAAAATATTTTTAGCTATAAAATACTTAATTCTAAGCGGGGTGTGGTGGCGCACAGCTGTAATCCCAGCACTCAGGGAGGCAGAGGCTGGTGGATCTCTGTGAGTTCCAGGCCAGCCTGGTTTACAAAGTGAGTCCGGGACAGCAGGGCTACATGGAGCAACCCTGTCTCAGAAACAAAACAAAACGAAAATTTAAAGAAATTAATCACAACTTTTAAGAGAGAAAATGTCACTAAAAAATTCCCACAACTCCCTTCTCTCTCACTCTCCCTCCCTTCCCTCCCAAAAAGCAAGAAAAAATGCACTAAGATGTTTGTGGGCCTTTCACTATGGTCCAGTGTTGACATTCTCCATGTTTCTGCATTGCCTTACAGCTTTCAAACAAGATGTATCTTTCCAGTAAACCAACACATTTATAAAAGTCTAGTGTCAAAGCTATAGGGCACCACAGTCATAACTCATAGGACTGGTCTCAATTCCAGTAGCACTTCTGACTGTCTTAGAACCTTTAATGGTTAGGTTACTGACTTCCAGCACCCAATGTGAACCTGGGGACATTCTGGGACTCCTGGGGCAGGTATTTTCAAAAGCCCCCAGATTGAGACTGACTCAATTTTCCAGTCAGAAAATGATGTGTGCACAGGCATCATCTGAGTGGCTCATGAGTGTGCACATGGACTTGGATGTGTGAGTTCCTTCCTTCCTTCCTTCCTTCCTTCCTTCCTTCCTTCCTTCCTTCCTTCCTTCC